AGGAGATTCCATCTGTATTGTAGTTGAGTGCTTGACTCAAGGCATAGTCCATGTTCATCTGCCTAATTATTTGGGATGCTCAGTAAGACCAGAAATGCTTGTAACTGGATGTGATGGTCATTCACCTTTCACCCTTCTGAAAATCCACCATGGAATGTGGGACAAAACATCTGTGCCGTGCACATGCACATCCTCCTATACCAGTGGCCTCCAGCTTTTGCCGGGAGGTGTTTGCTTGATTGACTGCATGGTGATTGTTGCAATCTGACCTTTGGACACGGTCTTGGGCAATACATAAATGACTCTTGTATCTTTCATCTCCAACCATGAATGCAAGACCATCCATCAATGATACTTCATCAGATGGATTCACTGGATGGAGGTGCTCGGCTTTGAAATTACCATCCATGACTAAAGTCCTGGTGAAGAGCCATGAAGGTGTGTTGTCCGGCCGGGTGGATGTACCGGTCAACAGGTCCAAGTTTATCCCTGGTTGTGGACATGCAGGGCAAAATAGGGCAAGATCACTGGCCTTTGGCTCACCATCTTTGTGAGCAAACCCATGCCACTTGTAAAGCTTGCATTGGCGCCACTTCCTGGCAGTTCTCATAAGTTCTCTGTAGCGATCCTACAGATCCTACTGTTTAATCACCAGATCACTGAGTACAGAGAATGAAAACTGACCAGAACCATCAATGAAAATATGCTTAAGGTCAGCCTCCGGATCTTACTGTAGTAATTCATGGCTGATGTACCACATTCGAGGTTGTCTAGCAGAAAGTCGTCCAAGACAGAGAATGTGAATGCAGTTTTTGGTCTGGTGAATGATGCCGGAAACAAGCCTGCTTGAAAGAGCTGCATATCCCAGGAGAGAGCACCGGGGCACTGGCAATATGAGATGGATAGAGAGTGAACAACTGTTACGACTTGGATGGTATCTGTTGGCGATGCTCAAACAGAGCATATGTCGTCAACGGTCGAGGATGTCCTTGGGCTAGCCCAAGGTTAGGGGTCTTACTTGGCGAGGCTTCGGCAAGTAAGATTTGACGTCTATGTCCAAATCGGGTAGCTTATGTCAAGCGGGTGCGAGATGATAAGCTATATTGGCCAAGGCTTACGACACCCGAAGGTTAATCGCAAGATCGTTGTTAATTAGAAGGACAGAAGTCCGACTAGTTAACAGGGGCTTTGCTCAGTCGACGAAGTCGATGAGTAAAGATCGAGACTATAGGCTTATCCGCAAGAGCAGATAAGAAGATAGAATATAGACTGCTGGCGAGGCAGAAAGGATCACTCTGGTGAGAGTAGGAGGTCAAGAACCAAGTAGATTCAAGTTAGGGAATACAGTACATGGTAGCGAGTTTATATAGAGGACAGGAGACGTATTAGTGGGAGATAACTCATACTACCAAGAGAGGCAATCGGTAAAGGGTATAACCATAACAGGAAGGCACGTTTGGTCGAGGTAGAACGTGCTGGATAAGAAAGTGAGTCAAAGATCGAAATAAGAAGTGAAACGCGCAGGGGCACGATCGTGCAGCTGTGGAGCTAAGTATAAGTCACATGTGCGACTGCGTACTGAGTCAGAGATCAAAAAGGGAAAAGGGCAAAGGGGATGCATCGTGCATCATATCATAGGTTACCGTCCGGATGGTAAGGGCAAGGGGACTGTCCACAGGATCAGTCAGGTGGTGGAACGGAGCATGGGTATGCTTCGTCAGCGAAAGGATCCGGCCAGATGTACTGGCTCTGCTGAAGCGACAGGTAGAGGGCGAAAGGGAATGCGAGGATGACAAGGATAACAAGGGTGAGGTCGGGGTAAGGGTATGATGCGAGGGCTGATACCAGAAGGATGAGGAGAAAAATGGTAGGGGCCCAAGCGTCTAGATGTTCTTGTAACAAACACCAGATTTGTCTACTATGGTGATAACCGGATGATCTGAGTTGGTGACAAGTGGAATGGAAGCTCCCTCCGGATAATCATCATAGTGTATATTTTCATCGGTATCTGACCATTCAAACAGGTCTGATGTGTATTCAGTGCTGCTGGGGCATGGAGTGCCATTGTGAGCGAGGTGAATGTACAGGCCAACTTTAATGAGTGATGTTTCTTGAAAAAATGATCTGGTCCATTGACTGATGCGATGGAATGGAATGTCTTTGATGCTGGGTTCTGCAGCAGTCTCTACAAAACAGAGGCCCATTAAAACAGCCATGGCATTTATAAACCCCATCCTTCTTGCAGACTGAACAAAGCTGGTCCGGGGGAGGGGCTTCTCTGACCATTAGTAAATTGATGTAGTCCTTGAACTTGTGCTTCCATTGCCGAAGATATTCATTCTGCCCCTGCATTATCCAGTCAGATGCAGACTGCAGAAATCAGAATGACTGTTGCTTGCCAGAGATTTTGGTAATTTAAACTGAGAGATGTCGCCTTGGTCAAAGTCAAAGTCCTCACCCTCGTGAAGCATCTGAGAGAACCCGGCTGTTTGCTTTGAGGGAGATTTTGTTGGTGATGATGTCACCGACTTTGTTTTTGGAGACCATGAATCTTTCACCCGAGATGACCTTGATCCTCTGGCTGTAGTTTTTTCCTTGAGTTTATATAGCTGAGGCAATTGTTTCTTCATTGGAGGAGTGTATGTGATTCCCTGTTGTTTACTAGTCTTTGCCATGATTGATATCACCACTTAGGATTGTTGGGCCAGGCAGTACGGTTAAGTATGATGACCTGTAGGCATATGACTTCACATTCTGCCTTCATTCTCCTTCAACTCCGGTCTCTGAGCGATTTGAATTGCCGGACCAGCACGACATCTTCCGTTCCTGTTAGTCATTGAGGTACCTTGGGTGATGAGAAAGGGACTGATTTGATTATCCAACTAGATCACTGTTCTTGGGCCATATTAGTATAAAGGACAATAATGTCACTGAAGATCTTGGAATATTATGTCCATTTATAATATATTAAGGTCTGCAATTGCCATAAGTTGTGTCATATCTGAGTCGGTTAACCAAACACATGGTAATCCTGCCATCATCCCAAATTTGAGTAGATTTCCTCCGGTATCAATGTGTCTCCCTATATGCCATATTTAAGAGTATTACTGTATGGGACCCAGGTGCTATATGATGAACTTGGTCTAAGTTCGCATGTTTTACAATTCTAAGTTCTACAATACAGAAACACAGGACATATTGAGCCTGAGGGTGACATGCTGGCGAACAATCTCTTGTTCGGTCTAATGTTGAGTACATGTGTGATTGGCTATGTAATCTTATACTATATCCTTTCCTCTACCGATACCTCAACTGCTTTGCAATGGCCCGATCCAACTTATCAGCACACAGTCCCCAAAAGACCAAGCAGAAATTGACGAAGGAAGAGCTGCTGGTGTTACAATCCCAGCTAGAAGAATGGAAGGAGGCCACCAGCAAGAATAGAAAAGCGATTCTGCATGCAGTCATAAGAGAGGCCAAGATCCAAGTCCCTAAGATGGATTCCCAGCTGTTGAAGAAAAGGAAATCTGTGAGCAACTGATTCTCTAATTGTATACATCCTCATGATGTATGAAGATGTACCGGGACTGGTTGTATAATCAGAGAGCTGAAAAGACTCTCAAAAAAGAGAGTAAGTTTGGTAAGAAATGGACCGCCCGGTTGGTGATAGAACACCAGTACAAGAAGGAGATAATTGAAAAGACTGGAGGAAGGCCAGGAGGAAAGAAAATGATTAAAAACTACCAGGGAGCGGTCAACACAATTATGGGAGGTTTATCTGAAGAGCAGCTGGAGGAAGCGAAGAAGACTGCAATAGAGTGGTCTAGCAAGGCTCCTCCTACGGATGTCCAGGCTGAGTTTACTCAGAAGAAAGCTCCGGGTATGATGAAAGATCTTGCAACTCAGTTATGGAGGCAGGCTGGTATGAGGATATTCATATTGTCAGCATGGAAAACAGGGGAAGGGGAAGTGAGGATCAATGGGTGAGTTGCATTCTCATGCTCCCAACTGGTAAAGGGCTGATCAGGTCATCAGAATGGACTTCAATGAACAGTTGGAAGGTAATAGTTTTACCAATACAAAGGACTGGAAGCCCATGTTATCAGAGTGGAATGCCTATGTTGGAGAAGAGTTCGGTGAGCTTCTTTTATGTGCAATGTCAATTGATCCGGTCAAGTACTTACACCAAGTTGTGATACCAGCAGTTGATCAGAATGATGAGGATGACAATGAGGATTGGGGGGGAAAGGACAGCGGAAAGCAAAGGAGAAAAAAGGAGGAGTTTGCTTTGGAGGTGGACACCTGTGGGCTTCCAGTCATACCAGATATCGAGGACCTCAGCCTAGAAAAAAAAAAGTCTCTCATCCACACATTCCTCACAAGACACTACAGTATGTTTCGTCGACTAAATATGTGAAGATTCAATCACACAACTATATATCTTGCAGGGTTTTGCAGTCAGAAGCCAAAGGCTTCTGTTCCTTGGTCTGCAGTGACGGAGGCTCAGGATGATTTTATCAAGTCCAAGTTTTTACCTGCTGGTGTGAAGATCAAGGACCCGTCAAAGCTTCAGTTGCATGAAGCTGATAAGCTGTTAGAGCTCTGGCATCAGAGACAAAAGGACGAGGTTCCATCAACATTTGAATTCAAAGGCTGGCAAAACCACAACAAGGAGATGAGAGAACTGAAGAAGAGGACCTCTGGACAGGTGGAACAAGACTCCAGTAGTGAGGGGGAGGATAGTGATGAAGGTGCTGGTGATGGCACGAGGTCCGGTCTAGCAACTGCAAAGACCAAGGCACCGGTTAAAATGCCAACTGGAAGGATGGAGCCCAAGTCATGAAAGCTGACCAGATGGGTGGAGCAGGAGTCGAGTAGTGAGGGGGAGGATAGTGACAAAGGTGCTGGCAATGGCACAAAATCTAGTCTGGCAACTGCAAAGACCAAGGTTCTGGTTAAAACACCAACTGGAAGGATGGAGCTGGAGTCACGAAAGCCGACCAGACGGGTAGAGCAGGAGTCGAATAATGAGGGGGAGGATAGTGATGAAGGTGCCGGATATGGCATGAGATCCGGTCTGACGACAGCAAAGACCAGTGTTCCGGTTGAAAAACCAACTGGCAAGCCGACTAGGAAGACAACTGGAAGGATGGAACACCAGTCAAGTCGCGAGAGAAATGTAGGTGATGAAGAAGTCCAATTACTTCCTTCAAAGTCCAAATCAATTGGAAGGCAAAATTGAGCTGTCCAATCCAATTCAGAGCAGGAAAATGCTATCCTGGTGAGGAAGATGTATCAAAAGGAACCTACACCAAAATCCACGGCACCTTTGACGATGCAAGCTACTCATAAAACAAGGAAGACAACCAAAGCTCAAATTGATAACCTGGAGCCAAAGAGATCAGCAAGAACCACAAAGGTGTCTTATAAAGTGAACTACATGCAAAGGCAGTGATCATCCGGATCCATAGAATGTACTATACAAGGCTAGAGAGTATCAAATGTATATATATACATCATGTTGACAGTCTATATATTGATACGAGTTGAAATGCCAGTAATAACTCATTGGCAGACTGAAGAACTTCCTGGCTGACAGATGCTTCTTCCAGTGACATTGTACTGTGGGCAATTTCCATATCCAACCAGTGGATCACCAAGCGCAAATCACCTACAGTGCGCTGAATCACAAATCCAATGGGTGCCGGTTCACCAACCGCAACTAAATACCAATAAATAACACTGATGTTTCATAGTATGGGAGACGTACATGACGGATCTGGAAGACCATGTACTGGATCCGGATCCAGAGTGGCGATTGTAATGTCCAATGGCCTGTCTTTCTGAACGGATGCCGGAGCTGTCCCAAAGCCCATGTCCAGAGGCTTGTGAGAAAGTTGAATATCCACTAAATTCACAATCAACAAGATAAGGCACAACAATGAGAAGACTTACTTGAGTGATCCAGGTGTACCGGATGGAGTGTACAAAATCCCATATCCAAAGGGTGCTTGTCCGGTTGGAGTGCATTGAAATCCGTATGCAAAAGGCGATCGTCTGGCTGGAGTGTGTCAAAACCCATATCCAAAGGGAGATCATCCAGTTGGATGTTTACTGGATCAACATGAGGATGGAACAAAATTAATGAATGAGACATACATGAGTGACAGGATGCTGGATCTGTGTGAAAGCCCATGTTCAAAGGAATCTGTTCCACTTGCATGTCTACTAAAGTTGCATTGAACAGTGTAACATAACACAATGACAAGACCTACATGACTGAACCAGACCATCACGAGCCGGAACATCATGAGCCGGATAATCATGAGCCGGAATGCTGCAAAAGCCCATGTCCAGAGGGTTGTTGATGGTGTCAGGTGCCTGGTGGGTATCTAACTTGCTGCCTGGTGGAAATCCCATGTCCAATGCTGATATGGATGGAGGAGTCGATGGCTGGTCAACATTGTGTCGAGGGAGGAATCCCATATCCAATAGTTCTGTCTCTGGTTGACCTGGGATGTGGGCAAACCGGATGTCTCCTGACCGGATGTGTTCCATCTGCTTCAATCATCTACCATCCTTCCACCGGTCGTGAGCTGACAAGAGATCTGAGTCTGGAGAAAATCTTAATTATCAGTCTTTTGTAGCAGCACAAGACAACACTCACATTCCCCCATGCTGGTGCAATTCATCCAAGGGTTGCTGTAGATCTGCTGCTCACCTTGCTGCTCCAAAATGTCAAACACTACCAATGAATGTTTAGTGCCTTCCAGGTTCTGAAAATGGATGGTTGTGTACCTTCGGCCTCATGAGATAATTGCAAGTTATCTAGAGTCAGCTCTATGGATGATATCTTCTTGCAGCCTGATTGGAATTTATGCAATCCCATCTCTGGGAGATGATACCTTTTTCCGGCTTGCATTTGTGCTTCCAAAACCTGTGACTGGATGCTTGAGAATTTCATAATGATAAAGTACGGCATGTTTTTACACAACAATGAAATTAATTCGGCATACCGAACCGGTGCATTGACCACGTATCCGGCAATCTCCGAGATGGCCCGGAGATCCGGTAGTAGTAAATTTTCCAACATTCATCATTCCCACCTGGTTCTCTTGTCCTAGCCAACCAGCTGCCCTTATCGTCTCATTGAAACCATGTCTTACAACACCAATACTTCTGCTGCTGCTGCCACAGTGAACCAGGCACTTGTTGATCTTCTTGACAGGTTGAATGAGTTGGTTGAAGAGGTCCTCTGGTCACAGTCAGAGGAAGATAAAATGAGATTGAGCCAGACCATTGCTTTTCAATTGGTAGTGTTGCCATAGCTCCGGCTTTTGCCGGTTCCTGGCCAAAGACTGTAACCAGCTACAGCCGAGCCTAACAAAGCCAAGCCTGGGAAAAAGCTGGCTCCACATGTGGCAGCTTGAGCTGCAGCTCTGGCTTGCGAGCTGGTTACATCGAAACTTTGTACATATCATGATATTGCTCTATGGCGGAGACAGTAGGAATCGCCATCGCCCATTGCCATTTACATCATCAAGCCATGTTCATAGTCCCTCACTATCAAGCTCAGTCTCTCCCCCCAACTCTAGCGGAACAAGAACTCCATCAACAATAGCACGGAGTGTTGTACCACCAGAAGCAATCAAAAACAAGATCATTTCTGCACCACCTGCACCTGACAATGGTCATTCACCCAGTCCTGCAACCATTATATCTGCCCCCAAGTCACCCCCAGCAAATCAGACCATCTATGATGACCAGGAACGATTGGGTAAGGGACCGCATCATTATTCTATTTTCTTGGCTGACTTTTACAGATGTAGCTAAATGCAAGAAGCTTATAGAAACAATCCAAGGTGATGATCAGGTGAGTCAATTTAGTGAAATCATGTTCAGACTCGTGATTACTGACACATCATGCAGGAGGAGGAAACCATATTCGCTGGAATCACAGATGATGAACATGCATATATCATGCAGTTCATTGACGAAGATGATGAGACTCGGGGAAAGTGGGTGACTTCATGTAATATCTTGCTATACCTAACACTGGAAATTTCCTAGATTTGTTTATCACCCAGACTCGGAGACATTCATAGTGACTTTGCCAAGCCAGGCTCATGAGCAACCCATCACACAAATCAACTTCGCTTTTCAAACAGCTATTACATCAATTGGCCACGACAATGCACTTGTCCAAGTCTATGCGCATGCAAATAGCCGCTTTTCAGGTGACAGTATCCACACAGACCCTGATATTCACATCATCTGCACACCATTCATTGATATTGGGGTACTGAACAAGCCTATCTCCCTCTGGATTATAGAGAATTGTTTGTCCCAGACCGAAAGCGCGGGTTGAAACAAGATATGTCGCATCATTGACGACGATGGGGGGATCCTATTGGCTTCACTAATCAATATGATTGAAGCACACCGATATGCTAATCCAGATCCTGACAGTGAGATTGCACAGTGTTTGCGATCAAAGCCAGTGATGTCTTTTGAAGAGTGGATGCCCCTGAGGAGATGATCCAACCAGTTTTGCCCTGTCATATCTGAGGGGCACAGCTGGGTTGAACTCTCGAAGATTGAGTTTCATACATGGATTTGCCCTGAAGACAGCCCAATTGATCTTGACAACAATGACTCTTCAGTGTATTCTAAAGGGGTAAGCAATGACTTTTTCACACTTTCACCTTTCCTGAGCACACACTTGCAAAGTCTTTTCCCCATCAAGAACACCCAAGAGATGGACGCAATGATTGGTCAAGGCATAGCAAGGATACGAGACATAATCCTCCATCACTTAGTCTTACTCAATCCAGAAGGTGACCACCATGATGTACACCAATGGACTCCACCTGCAAAGGTGATCCAGATGGAAGGAGATCAAGGCATCATTAGTAACCGCAGTGTGGGCAACTGCATATAACCGCTACAAGCTCTGGCACTGTAGTCTCCTGAAGTGCAAGGCAGAAGGGGCTGATGATAGCTCAACAAAGAAGGTGCGTGTTTGAGTGTAAGTTCTCCTTTTGTAAAAAAAAATGATTAATATCCGACTCATAGCCTTGCAGAGCTGTGCAATCCAAGTCCTCTTGGGTGATGTTCATTGACCCATGCCTCATCCGTCTACCATTTCATATCTGCTTTCCCTAGCTCATGTATTCAAGCTTTCACGTACTTTCTCACATAATATGAATCATGTTGTGTTGTTGACTATATTTGCTTCAATACTACTACACTTGTATATAAGCTGAAGTTCTGGACTTAAAGCTTATAGTGCTCTTCAGCACCTTCACTTCATTGCATGCATCATCCTTGTCAGGATCAGTGTCCGGCAGGCAGTGTTGTACCTAAGCCACCTGCATCTCGGGATGCACCCACACTCAACATTGACATCAACCAGGCTGATGACTCAGAATCCTTTAACCTTGATGTATCTGGATCCAGTGACGACGCTGACCCAGCACCTCCAGTACGTAAAGCCAACAAGAAGACAAAGAAAGGGCCAGCACCTGCCAGTGTACCTTTGGATTTTGAAGCACCACCAGATCCTCTCCTTCAAATGCAGGCATCTCAAAAAACTGCAACATCAGATGACATTAACTATTTCTTTCAGAAGCAAAAGGACAAAGACACTATTTGTGTCATTTGCGAGTAAGTCTTTGCTAGTGTATGCCATTGATCATTCATCTAACTATTCACATTTCTAGGGCTGAGCAAAAGCCAGATCCAGCTACATGGGATGGGAGCCATGGAAAAAGAAAATGGGAATACTTGAGCAATACTGGGAATACGCCATTGCATGGACATGTCAAGAGGTTTCATTTACTCCTCTATCTCATTCTGGCAGAAGAATGCGGGTGGTCCATATTTGTCGTCAGTGTCAAACTAGCCTTCAAAATGGGATACACACTAGCTGAAATGTGTAAAGTTGTCGAGGGAGGCGCCAAACTATCTAATCTTCCTAAGCGTGCAGCTGGAGCCAGTAGTACCACCTTAGCTGGCCCATGTGATACAGGATCAATTCCAGAGTTCACGCATCCCACCTTCATCCAACACCTTGTATCTTTCATTGTTGCTGACGATCAGGCAAGCCCTTGCACAATTTCATTATTTCTTACTGACAACAGTCAACAGTTGATCAACGTTATCGAGTGTCTTGAATTCAGATGCCTCCTTTTACTTCTCCGCCAAGAACTTCATGAGAAGGATATTCCTCACCATACTAAGATCTGCGCAGAAATTATCAAGGCCTGGCAAGAGTATTTTGTGACTCTGAAAGACGATATGGCTGTATGTATTTTTTATCTCCATAATTTACAGATTCTCATCATACTTAGAATGCCGTTGGGACAATCTCATTCACTGCTGATGTCTGGTCATCGAAGACTCTCGGCGCATATTTAGCAATGATGGCTCATTGGATCGCAGAGAACCAGAAGTTGGCCACACTTGAGCTGAAGGCAGCACTGATCACATTTTGCCGGATCAAAGGAAGTCACACCAGAAAGTACCTAGCAAGGACAATCTTGTATTTACTTGATCGTGCAGATATCACTGTAAAGGTGTGGTGACCTGTCAGATACCGACCTTCACTTACATTAATTCAGGTTGGACATTTCACCATGGACAATGCGGGCAACAATGCGACATGTATGGAAGAACTTGCCAAACTGCTGGAACAACACGACATCACTTTTGACCCACTTGACAAGTGGGTGATGTGTTTCCCCCATATTATGAATATATGTGTACAACACATCGCTGATCATTTCACTAACTCCATTGTTGCTGCACAAGAAGTCTCACGGGCATGGGATGCAACTATCAATGGTGTTGTGATGGACAAAAAAACCTACATTGCAGCTATCACAAATAACCCAGTTGCGCTGGGCCGGTCAGCTATCAAAGCGATCCGAGTATCTGGACTGCGTTGCGATGAATTCATGGAAGTTGTCAAAACCGGAAATGCCAAGCAATGGTTCAAATCTCCTTTGAATGAGCTGGTTACCGTTCCTGAGGTTGAACTCCTTTGTGATGTCTGCATGAGATGGGACTCGACGTATTTCATGATCAATCGCTTACGAGCAATGCGTCCAGTAAGTCTAATACATGTCATTTTCACTCATGCTATACATTCTTGTGTCAGGCCATAGACTTCTTCCTTAGCATGCCTAATCAGCAGGACATTTCTGGTCATAAGATGACCAACTCAGAGTGGCAAGTTCTCAAGGACCTTGAAAAGATTCTAGATGTATGTATACAACCTCCACCCTTAATTATCTTGAATTTTAATCCTGTTCGCTACTCAATTACAGGTACCTCATAGAGTGCAGCAACGGATGTCATCTAAGAGCATGCCCCAGTTAGGTAGTGCAGTTCCATGCTTCGAGTTGTTCATGACCGCATGGGAATCACTCGCTACCAAATTTCCTTGACTCCATCCCTCTATTGATGTTGGCTTGGAATGGGCTAAGTCGTACTACATTCGCATGGACCTGACAGATGCATATGTTATAGTGATGTGTAAGTCTACTATACTTGGTGATAAATGACTACTAATTGACACGCCCACCGCATTACAGTGATTGATCCATCAGTCAGACTCACTTGGATAAAGGACTACTGGGATGATGGTTGGATAACACGTGCTGAACAAATGATATGCAACCTCGTAAGTACTAACTGACCGTCTGACCGTTTATGCCAATCTGATTGTTTAGATGGTGGAATACCGAAAGCAAATTTCACCTGAGGCTGCCAAGCAGTCAAATACCACTCACACCTCCAAGGTTGACACAATCAACTCGCTCGCTCGACTTTATGGCCTTGGAGATATGCGTGTGAAGGGTCCACAGCAGTCTCAAGGCCCACAGACTATTGAGCAAGAGTATCAATCTTACGTTAATGGTGACCTTTGGGATGAAGGCGTTGACGTACTCAAATTCTGGGAGGTACATCACACCATTTATTCTTTCAACTGCAGTACTAACGTTCTCTGCTTTTGATAGATGAAGCAGAAGACGCACCCAACATTATTTGCAATTGCCATGGACTATTTGCCTGTTCAGGCCTCTGCAGTCCCATGTGAACGAGTTTTCTCATCAAGTGCAGAAACTGACATGAAAAAACGGAACCGAATCAGTGAGACATTGATGGAGGCGCTACAGATGTTGAAATACAGCCTGAAAAAAGAACAGCTCAATTTCTCTCAACAGTTCACAATGTCACAGCATGACCTTCCTGATGATGATCCCGACGAGCTGAGTGGAGTGCAACTGAATGTATCTCAGGATCCCATGGATGACATACTAGCTACAATCGCGTCAGAGGAGACTGAGGATATGCCAGACCACATTTATATTTTTCCACAGCCTTCATCTTGGACTTGTTAGAGGCTACAATTTTTATCTGTAACATAGCATTCGGAACCGCCTCAGTTATCTGTGTACTACTAGTATGCACTAATACTACTTATGTTGAACTTCTTTTTGACTGCAGAGGCCGGTAAAATGCCATGGCACGTGACCTCGGTGATACTCGTGATTCATCTGTTCAATTCCGGAAGTTGCCGCTATGGCGCACATACGTGTTGAATGTGTGTATCATTGGCATATCATATCTGTTCAAATTCTATCTGTGTACATCAACATCATACTTAGGACTTGATGATTCCTGTGCGTGTCAATGGGAGGTATCGGCTGAAAGACAAAGTAGGGTCAGGTGCTTATGGTAAGTGAATTGTTTTTATTATTACATCTCACTGCGAGGACTGGACTTTGTGACAGGTGAAGTGTATCATGCAAGTGATATCATTGGCGAATGGTGATGTGATTGTCAAGCTTCAATGTATTACTGGCACCACCATCACCAGCTTGGAGCACAAGTATAATGTGCTCAGGCAACTTGGTGATACTGTTGGCATCCCCCATGTCCACTGGTTTGGACGGGAGGACAGTTATGATGCCCTAGTCCTTGATCATCTTGGACAGTCGCTTGAGAGTGTATTCAAGGCATATCAACACTCATTCAGCCACAACACTATAGTGTTCATAGCTCATCAGCTCGTAAGTATTTCCTAAATCACATGTACTGATTCTAACATTTTCACTAGGTCTGCCGCCTCCAGTACATTCACTCCAAACACTTCATTCATCGCAACTTGAAGCCCAACGACATTCTTATCGGAACTGGCAAGGATGCAGCACAAGATTTTTCTTGTCGACTTTGGCATTTCCAAACAATACAGATGTCCATGCACTCACCTCCATATTGCATTTAAACAAACCGCCTCCTTGACAGGAACTCCAGCTTTCACATCCATTAATAGCCATGCAGGTATGGAGCTAGGACATCGTGATGATATCGAGTCCCTCGCATACCTCTTAATCTACCTATTTTGTGGATCTCTACCTTGGCTTTGCTGTAGTGGCATCTCTGACAAGCAAGTTGTTGAGATGAAGTACGATACGATGAAGTTGTGCCAAGACCTTCCTGAAGAGGTTGAACAGATCCTCACCTATTCATGTTCCCTCTCGTTTGACCAGAAACCAGACTATGCATTCTTATGTCGCCTTCTTCAGCGCATCAACAGTACATCTGAGTCTTGCCTAGCAGGACCATGTACCCGACTGGTCCACTGTTTCCCCCGCACCTTGCAAGACCCCCAATGGCAATGCAGATTCCACCATGCCCCGCCACTCATGTCGTTTGAAGGTGCAGGCTTTTTATTCATGCGCTATGTATTCCCTGTGCAGCAACCGCCACCCTCGGACTGTACAGAAATGAGTGCTACTTCAATAAATGTGAGTACACTTATTTTTTTATATTCATCAAGTTGTTGACTTAAACGGTCTGCAGGTCTATGTCACACAATAACTCATGTCTTACTGTGTTGTATTCTTGTTTGTATGTCAAAAATTCATGTAACTACTTGACCGCAACAATATGAGTGAATTTGAGCCTTCTGTGATTCGGTTCAAGCTGGCTCGAGCTGTGGCTCTATGAGCCTTAGCTAAAGCTGACTCATATGGCTAGCCACGGCAGGCCGGGCTGGATATAATGGCTTAGCTCACTATAAATAGCTGAGCTGCAAATGAAGCTGGTAGAAGCCAAGCTGGCTCTTGGCTAGCTGAGCCGTGGAAACACTAGATATCACAATTCGGGCATTCTGTAGTTTTGACTCCAGTAGCCAATAGTTGTTCGGGGTAATCACCAACAAAGCAAGTGAAGAGAGGATGACAATGGCGTGAGACGCCATCCCCACTTTGCATCACTAGACCATCAAGACCAGCTTTTTCCAGCGGTGACAAGATATGAGACATGCAAGCATGATAAAGGTTTGCAGCACTTCTGCGACATGAAGCCTTGTTGGTAATATGCTCAAGGCGAGTTGTGGGAAGATACCCAAGAAGGATTTGTGTGCGTTGGGACAGTTTTTGACGAATCTCTTTCGGTATATTACCAATAGTAAGGTAGACAGGGTATGCGGTTTTGTTACGGAACACAGTGACTTGTGTTTTATCAGTTGAAATGATGATGGGAACGATAGTTGCGCCTGGCCGCTGTTTGTCGAGCTTTTTCTGTTCAATATCAAGGTTAATTTGATTGAGCAACCAATATGAATCTATGTGAGCTCACCTGAGTACTCCACCACCATTTATCTGTGTGCATGTCGCCGAAATACCAAACTGTTTTATCAGCGTCTGTGTAATGGTGTTCTGGTGCAAACACAAGAAAGTCGGCAAAGTCTGGGTTGCCATAGAGATCCTTGATGCATTCGAGTATGTCCGCAGTAGAAAATATTGAACACTTCGCCCACAACAACAACCTGTTCATGGCAAAACCTCGGATGACCAGGAAGTTGTGTGTCGATGATACTATTAAGCCCCCTTGCATTTTTGTAAGACAGACCAAGGTGTTCACTGACCTGTGAATAAAGATAAGTCACTTTCAAGTCCGTGAATATTAAAACAAACGCCCTAAACCATCAATACTAAGCAAGTCCGAAAATGCTGTTGAGCTCAGGCCATGTAACTTCGCCCATTGCGCAACCTCCCAGTCCATTTGAGAGGAAAACGGAGCATAAGGATTTTCCGCATTCAAGTTGTTGATACTGGAAGCATATGTAGCATTCACATTTTGAATTTTGGCTTGGGTGATAGGCTGTCCTGCTCGATGATTGGGATAAGACTCAATGACTCTATTGTGATCTGCAATTTGCTGTTCAATCTGGTGGCACATTTCGCAGTCGATACTGCCGTCATTGTCGTCCATAGGATCATCTACTTCCACCCCTGCCCATCCCTCATCCTCCTGCACTGGCAGCTTCCATTCATTATCCTCCCTACCATCTTCCTTGTCACTGCTATTTCCGTCATGCTCGCCATTTCCGTCATGCTCAGCAAATGATTGCAGGACTTCGTCTTCGAAGTCCTGCATTTCTTCCTCATACATATGATGTGGTCCCTCAGGCACCTCAGACTTGTTGCGAGGTTCATTGAGAGGTTGGAATTCTGAATTGACATGGGTATGTGATTGACAGTACAGCGCATGACAACAGGGATCACGGCTCTTAGCAAGATGTTGACTGAGGTCAATAACAGTAAGGTTGTCGCAGGCACAGGCAGGGCATTTTGTCAACATTTCAGACGACTGAGAAAACTGAGATGACTGAGACTAAGATAGGGTTGGGGGAGGTGAAGCGAAACGGTGAAGCGAAACTGAGATGGGGGTCAGGGGTTAGAAATGGTGCTGGTGCAACGGCCAAGCTAGTAAATTGATACTAAAACATTTGAGGGTCAGTCTGAGGTAAAAAAAAAAAATGGATGAGCTCACGAGAACTAAAGTCAGGGCTCATAAAGTTAAACAGCCTCTGCCGTTGAAATGCACTAAAAATTTGACAGTGCCCTCAAACTTTTCAACTTCCTCCCACTCTCTCATCTTCACACTCCTTTACCGCCGTTAAGTCATCCCTGCCCTTTCAATCTAGTGTACAATGTCCACACCTATTAATTCTTGTGGTGAGTAGCCACCAGCAGACTCAGAGATGCCTACTTCTCACCTTCGGGCATCGATAGAGGCTCGAAATGCCAAGAAAAAAGCTATGGAAAACGCTGGTGAGCAAGTAATCCGATATGCCAATATCAATGTTCAATGCTCACCTGTAAGTGCAGTTTGGCTGCCAAAATTAACCAGAAAAGTTCATCAAGCTTCACCAGTAACTCAACTAGGAAGTTCAGGTGCTGGCAGTAACCATCAGAAACAGAGGAAAATCAGCACCAACAGTAAGTTTTTCTTCCTCCTACGAGGTACAGGAACTTGACACTCACCTTTGACCAGAGGATGCACTGAGCAGAAAAGCAGAATTGCCTCCAGATGTAGTTGCTCGCAGTGACAAGAGCCTGCCTTTGAAGATAAGTGAATCATTAGTTTTATGAGTCATAGATTAGCACTAACTTAATGGTATACAACATTAGAGCGGCAGCATACCTTCGTGGACGATGAACACAATGAGGAATCAAGTGCCGGTGACTCGGAGGACTTGGAGCCTAAAACACCTTGAGGTCAGTGATTTTCTAGATGCGGAAAAGGAAGTCTTACTCATGCTAGTGCACAGGCTTGTATCGACCTCACAAGCTTCGGCACACATATGCGATGCTGGATGTCAATGCCAGTACATTGTTCAACTCTGACGAGCTCGACTCTGATACACAGGTTGACAGGTAAGAATGGTCAAGACTTGGATGCTGACGAGGAGAGTGAAGGCGAGGACCAAGAGACCACTGCCATGAGGCTCGCTGATGAGGTCAGCAATAGGTTACTTAAGCTGCACCAGTTGCCATCACTCACAATGATATTGAAGGTCCCTTCGTTTGTCACCAACTCGGGTGACAAAAAGATGAAGCCACACAATGTTCAATCATGCAGCAAAAGCAAATCTCAGTCTGCTCAATCTGCTCGAGATCGCAAACAAGCAGCTGAGGTGAGTCCAAAATAAACTGTTCTCATGTGACGATCATCCAGTGAACATTTACTAGATTCCGACCTGGTGCAACAATGATGGTTCTGAGCATACCGATGAAACTACTACTCAGTGTGGGGGATCCAAAGAGGCCTACTCTAGTGATATTGGAGGCACTACAGTCACCTCCACCACACCTGCGCCCAAGAGTACTGCTCGTCTCATTCGATATGAGACTGGGAAGGTGAAACTACTTGATCAAAATCAAGAGACTTGCTGAGTAGTCCGGGATGCAATTATGGATGCCAAGGGCCACCTCATTTTTGTCAATGCTTATCCCGAACTTGTTGACAAAAATCAAGTTGCGCTCCAGTCCTTGCTTACAGTGGCCAATAAATGTGGTGCACATACCATCAAACAACATCTTCAAGAAGACACATGTTACGGACTTGGATAGTATCTGTTGGCAATGCTCAAACAGAGTGTGTGCTGTCAACAGTCGAGGACGTCCCTGGGCTAGCCCAAGGTTAGGAGTCTTACTTGGTGAGGCTTCGGCAAGTAAGGTTTAATGCCTATGTCCAAATTGTGTAGCTTACGTCAAGCGGGGCTCAACGATAAGCGTATCTGCCAAGGCTTACGACACCTGAAGGTTAATCGTAAGATCTGCGTTAATAGAAGGATGGAAGTCCAACTAGTTAACAGGGGCTTTGCTCATCGACGAAGTCGATGAGTAAAGATCGAGACTAGAGACTTATCCGTGATGAGCAGATAAGAAAGTAGAATATAGACTGCTGGCTAGGCAGAAGGAATCACTCTTGTTAGGAGTAGGAGGTTAAGAACCAAGTAGATTCAAGTTTAGGAGCTAGATACATGGTAGCGAGTTTATATAGAGGAGAGGACATGTATTAGTGGATGATAACTCGTACTACCGGAAAGGGAACTGGTCAAAGGGTGATACTAGAAAAGGAAGGCACATTCGAGGTGAGTCATAGGCGAACCAGAATGTGCAAGTAGGAACTGAGTCAGAGAACAGAAACAGGAAGTGAAACAAGCAGGGGCACAATCGTGCAACTGCAGAGCTAAATATAAGTACAAATGTGCGACTGCGCACCAAGTCATAGATCAAGAAAGGAAACAGGGTAAAGGGGATGTGGCGTGCAATGTATCATAGGTTACCGTCCAGACGGTAAGGGTAAAGGGGACTATCCACAGGATCAGTCAATGGGTGGAATGGAGCATGGGTATGCTTCGTCAGAGAAAGGGTCTGGCCAGATGTACTGGCTCTGCTGGAGCAACAGGTAGAGAGCGAAGGGGAATGCAAGGATGACAAGGATAACAAGAGCAAGGTCGGGGTAAGGGTGTGATGCAAGGGCGGAGATGAGGAGGATGAGGAGAAAAATGGTAGGGGCCCAAGCATCTAGATATTCTTGTAACAACACACAGCATGCGACTCAACTTGGTAACCTGGTATGCCTTTTAATGCTCATTGCAGTTTTCCTTTTTTCTAACTATGTTCAATCACTCAAGGTGGAGCCTCGCATCCCGTTATTATGCCGTGACCTGAAAGAGGTTGCATGTGCCAACATCGATGGCTACTTCCATCTAGGCCAGAGCGCAGTGAAGGCGAAAAAACTCATGGAGCAACACGCATATTCATATTCTTTGAAATTTGATGTAAGTTGTACTATTCTTTTCCAACTTCAAGCACTCTTTACCACTTGCCGAGTTCTTCGCACTCAGGAGCGGGTTCTTTATCATATTCCTACATATCTAACTAACTTTTATTTCTTCAACAGTCCAACGACAATCCCTCGCCTAGGGGAAACAAACCCTATCAGGGAGAACTTGTTATCTTTCTATTGCATACTGGTATCTTCAATGGCCCGAAGTCCATTGGTGTCAAATTTGCAGAGCACTTCATCAAAATTGCGGGCTGATGGGGACTAGAACGAGACGAGTCTCAGCGTGAATAGGACAACGCTAAATGTATTCAATACCTAGAACGAGACGAGTCTAGGTACACATGAGCTATCAAGAATATACTGAAGAACTAGAGATACTCACCTCAGCGTGAATAGGACAACGCTGAGGTGAGACGACGCGAACGGCGCTACTGATATACGAGCATGGCGGATCTGTGGCTGAGTGACGAAGGTGAAACTGTATAGTACGTAGCACATGGTGCAAGATGATAACGAGAGTCGGAGACATATGTTCTGAGATAAGAAAAACTAAATGAGGACGTACGACGATCACCAACATGTGATACCAAAACTATCAACACACCCCCTCACCGAGACACGAGTGAAAGGGCGGAGAGGTGCTTCAAGAATAAAGGACGAGCGAGCGGTTTGGTGAAAATATCCGCGGTGTTCTTGTGCGAGGGCAACCATTTGAGAGTAAAAATACCCTTGTCAACATATTCACGGATGAAGTGATAATGAATATCGATATGCTTTGAGCGGATGTGGTTCTTCGCCTCAACGGAAAGCGAGATGGCGCCAGTGTTGTCCATGTAGACAACGATGGGGGCAAGGTACGTGACGCGAAGTTCGTTGAAGAGTGAGCGCAACCAGAGACCCTCTTGGAATACATGGGTAACGGCCATGTATTCCGCCTCTGTGGAGGAGAGCACATGGGTGGACTGCTTCTTCGAGGCATGAGCTATCAATCCCCCCACATAGAACCAGGCGTAACCAGAGATGGACAAACGGTCCTCGGGGTTGCTGGCCCAATCAGCGTCACAGTAAGCGTGAAGGTTTTTGTCCACGCGGTCACCCCCATAGTGCATGCGCACATCAATGGTGCCGCTAAGGTAGCGTAAAAGCCGTTTGGCTGCAGAGTAATGATTTGGGGAGGGGGCCGCATTGAATTGTGCGAGAGAGTTTACCGCAAAAGAGACGTCAGGGCGAGTGCAGATGGATATGTAGAGGAGTTCGCCAATGAGTTTTCAATAACGTGAGGTGAGATTTGGAATGACGTCGTATGTGTCAGACGCGCGGCCAAAGGGATGATTTGCGTCCAGTGGAAGGAGTACTGGGTTGCAGTCTTGCATGCCGTATTCATCAAGGAGATAAGAAATATACTCCCCTTGATGCATCCAGAGGCGATGTGCCTCGTGGTCACGCTCGAATTGAATCCCTAAAAATTTCTGCACCGCGCCAAGATCTTTTATCCCGAACCGTTCGTGAATGCGTCCCTTGACCCAACGAAGGAAAGGTGGCGAGTTGGAAGTCCCGAGACCGTCGTCGACATGAAAACCAATGATACAGATGACACGGACACCCCCATCGTGGAGGCGATCGTAAAAGAACACTGCATAATCGACAGCGCACCGCGTGAACCCCAACTCATGCATGATTGCACGAACCTCCTCGTACCACTCCATGGCCGACTGCTTGAGGCCGTAGATAGTGCGCAGCATGCGCCAGACAGCCACTCTCCAATCTCCCTCTTCGAAACCTTTGGGCTGACACATATAAATCTCTTCCTTTAAGGTCCCCCATAAGAACGCGCGCCTGGCGTCGAAGTTGTCGAGATCCCAGTCATTCTTGCAGGCGAGGGTGGAGATGAGCCGTATGGATGAGGTCTTGAGAACGGGGGCGAATGTCGCACCGAAGTCTATCCCAGGAATCTGGGAGAAGCCCTGTGCGACCAAGCGAGCCTTATAGATAGAGCCCCCCTTGTTATCCTGCTTGAATTCCAATACCCACCAGTTTCCAATTGCTTTTCTTCCCTCTGGCAACGGCACAACACGATACACTTCCATCTCCTTCATAATCCCCAACTCCGCCTGCATCGCTGACAACCACTCACTCCTGTCAGATCGCAGCATAGCCTCCTCATACGTGGCTGGAGGTATCTTCATGTCATAGTCTGGGCTAGAGGGGTTGCGTCGTCGGTCGCTCCAAATGCTAATATTTGCCTGCTCCTCAATGATGACATTAGCGAAGGCATCGGGCACGTCAACGTTAGGCTCGATGTCAGAAATCATGGCTTCAGCGCTCCTTTCCGCGATGGGTTCCTCGGTGGGTGCAGGACCAGCAATGGCACGGGCCATGCGCGCCTCGCGAAGTGCCTGTAACCTGGCTTTGGAAGCTGCGAGCTCCTCGGCATAGGATTGACCCGCTGCTGTTGCAATGTGAGGACGGGCAGATCGGCGTGGAGGGAGCACAGAGGGAGGAGGAATAGGAGCAGGGATGGTTGTATCTGCGGGAGCAAATGGTGGAGTCGACGTGCTTTGAACAGGTGAGTGCGGGGCAGAGGTGGGGTCAGCGTCATCGTCTGAGTCAGAGTTGTGTGGGTGAGCGACTGAAGGAACATTCTCATCAAAAATAACATCACGCGCAGTGAAGAAAGTTCCTGTGTCCTTGTCGCGAAGTCTGTACCCTTTAACCCCTTCAGGATACCCTAGGAAAACCGCGTGCCGGGAGTGAGGACCGAGCTTTGTTTGCAATTCGGTTGGAATGCGAGCGAAGCATCGAGAGCCGAAGATACGTAGATGAGCGAGGTCGGGTTTTCAATTGTTCACGAGTTCGTAGGGGGTCGTGCCTGGTGGTAGGGTGCTTGATTCACTCCTGTTCCACAGGTAGCAAGCGGTGAGTGCCGCTTCCCCCCAGAGGGAGGCAGGGAGTTGAGCCGTCTCCAGCATAGCAGATAAGCGTCCCTCGATGGTGTGGATTGCGCGCTCAGCTTTACCATTTTGCTGATGCGCATATGGAGCTGAGAGCTGCCTCTCAATGCCCGCGGCAACAAGAGCCTCTGTGAAGGCTGCGCTAATAAATTCCCCCCCGTTGTCAGAACGAAAAACTTTGACAGTACGTTCGGCATGATTTTCCCATCTGCTTTTGATAGACGTCCAGGCTTCCAGTGCCTGGCTTTTGGTGGCAAGGAGCTGCAGGTTCAGGAGGTTGGTGTGGTCGTCTAGAAAAATGATGAAGTGATGTTTTCCATGAGGCGTTGCGAAGGGGAATGGGCCACATAAGTCCGAGTGTATGAGGTCGAGCATGCGTGCTGCGCGTGGAGTTGCAGAGGGCGGATAGGGTTTTCGAGGATGCTTGGCCATTATACAAGGCTCGCAGCGTTGGACCTGTGGAGATGTCGACCTTGACCCCGGTTGCAAACACAGGCAGGCGTTTAACGGCGTCACCTCCAGGATGTCCCATCCGTGCGTGCCACAAGTCCCAGGACAAAGGAACATGGGCAAAAGCGGAGATTTCTTGTGGACATTTCGTACGGATAGACAACGTGTCTGGGGTGAGGAATTTGAGGTCGGCGAAGAAGAGGTTCCCGACCATGGGAAGACTGCCAAGTGGGTTGTCTCGATAGACTAGTTCACAGCGTGCAGGATTGGGTTTGAAGTTACACTCCCAGCCCTTTTGCAGCATGTGGCCGACAGAGAGGAGATTGACGACAGCACCAGGTGCGTGGAGGCAATGAGTGAGGCGAATACGGCTAATACATCCGTTGATGGTAAGTTCAGCCACACAATCACCGCGTCCTGATGTGGCGAGTGTGCCGTGATTGGCGGTTTTAACCGTCACTTTAGCCTTTTCGGAGTAAGTCCAGAACACGTTTTGATCGGTGATAAGGGTTGACGTAGCACTGGAGTCTAGAATGGTAGATAGATGCTGTCTGGCTATGCACGCTAAGTCGTCTGCACTCATTGTCGAGTCGTCTGAACTGATCTCTGCGATTGTTGCACAGGCAAGCTCTCGCCGTACACTCGAATCGACAGGAACAGAGGAGGTCGTGTCTGGTTTCAACTCTGTCGCCGATGCTGCGACATCCTTCTTGGCTTTACTCGTCTTCCTTCCCCAAGAGCTCTTAGTGCCCTCAGCACCCCCACCTGGTTGGAGACAGTGCTCCCTGTCATGCGTTAAAGAGCGGGGCAAGCCAGTGCAGACAGGGTTGTCGCATGGTACGCCCTTGGGATTATATTTGTGGATTCTGACGCCGTTTGCAGGATTGGTCCTCGATTCTCCCATGGAAGGTGATCCACTGATCGCGTTGGCATATTCAGATCCGGGTTTGGCCATTTTCAGCTGGCTGCGTTGGCAATTGGCTTCCTCCGAAAAAGAGGTTGCGATGGTTTGGAAGGTGATCTTTGGCGGGGCAGGAGGAGATGTTGTTGTCGAGGTGCTGGAAACGGGGACAGGGATCGAGGAACTTGCATACATTCCAATGGTAAGTCCTCGGAAAACAATCCATTGCGGCGTCTCAGGTAACCCGTTCAACAGCATGAATATAGCTTCCTCATCTGTGAAGACCACCCCCATTTCCACGAAACGACGACATCCATTCTCTGATACCCCGAGGTATCGAGGAGCATCTTCCGCGTCTTTGAGTCTCTCGGAGAACAGTTGTGAGTGCAACTCAAACTGTGAGGTGACGTTGAGGCGCGAGAAGTGTTGCGCTAACACATCCCACTGTTTGCGAGCTGACAGAGTCTCGTCGAGCATATTCTGGACAACGGGGGAAAGCTTACGCCCTATGATGGCTTTAGCTTGTGCGTCCTCTTTAATCCATTCCTTCATGCTCTTCTTTTCGTCATCCGTGGGTTTGCCTGCTAACACGGCTACAGGAAAAATGCTTGCGAACTCGGCGAAGTCGTTTGGATCAGTGCCTGTGCTGCAATGATTCCATAGTCCTTCCCCGGCGAGGGCAAGTCTAACCGACCTGCGCCAGCTCGAGTAGGTATCGGCGCCTGTTAACTCGATGATGTGGTCGAGTTTGCCCATAGCGGTCTATTTGGAGGATGATCGAGTTTAAAATAGCAGTGAGCGTATATGATTTGTCCAGATGAGCTTATCGAGTTCGAATCTGTTGAAGTCCTTGTCGTGTTCTCCGAGCCTATGGCTCAGGGCTCATAACCTGATGGGGACTAGAACGAGACGAGTCTCAGCGTGAATAGGACAACGCTAAATGTATTCAATACCTAGAACGAGACGAGTCTAGGTACACATGAGCTATCAAGAATATACTGAAGAACTAGAGATACTCACCTCAGCGTGAATAGGACAACGCTGAGGTGAGACGACGCGAACGGCGCTACTGATATACGAGCATGGCGGATCTGTGGCTGAGTGACGAAGGTGAAACTGTATAGTACGTAGCACATGGTGCAAGATGATAACGAGAGTCGGAGACATATGTTCTGAGATAAGAAAAACTAAATGAGGACGTACGACGATCACCAACATGTGATACCAAAACTATCAACACGGGCAACAAAGCCAAATGCCCCGAAATGCCTGTGCCATTGCTGGCACTGGTTGCAACAGCAGTAAAGTTCTTCTATCTATCTTTTTGCACAGTGCTAACTCGTTTTCAAGATCTATGCAGCCTTGTTTTGGAAGACACTTGGTTCCCCGGGGAAGTTCAACTTCACGGGGAATCAATTCAGCGAAACTTATATGTTTCATGTGAAGTTCCTCAAGGATCTGAAGAAGAACGTGCCTAAGAAGTTTCACTGCATGATGGCAGACATCTATGAGTCCGTACAGTAAGTTTTACTAGTGTGCATGGTGGTACTTTGACTTGGGTATTGACACTACTGGCAGGGCCTTGAAACGAAAGGGAGGCGATAATCAGGCTGATGAGCATCGAAAGGCGTTGGCGCTACTGGACCTTGATGGCATGTGTGAGGATTAGCTTCTAGTATGGCGCTGATCTGTGAATAGTGGTGAATAGTGCAGATTTGTTGATCACTCCTTTCATATACCCTGGTCTCTGTCAGCTTGCTCCCAGATTTGTTGATCACTCCTTTTCATATACCCTGGTCTCTGTCAGCTTGGTCCACATGTTTCAAGTTACTTTGTATACATCTTTTAATCAAATGCTATTCTTTTTATTGTAACACCGTCTGAAATGCTTGATTTGCACTTCGTTATTAAACATAATCTTTCTGAAATTCACTCTAATTGCTTGTGATATCAACTAATTATTAATAATTATACATTACTCTCGAGGGGGTAAAAAAGTACTTCTATGCGCCATAATCTTCCCAAGGCTGATAATTTCTGATTATTATCAGAAATTATCGACGGTTAGTGTGATTTAACATAATTTGTCTCGGGAGGCTTTTCCTGATGAAGTTTCATCTCCAATGAAGCAAGGGCCAGAGAAGGGGAGATTGGTGTGTGCTGCTAATTGGAGGCAGGCCTGGGAAGAAGAAGAGGATATTAGAGTGGGCTCCAGAAGAACTGGCAGATGATTTGTTTGAGGAGGTCCTGCAGTCAGAAGGATATCATTCTGATGACGACCCTGAATTTGACCTGGAAAGTGGTTTGTGTTCTTCAGATTCTGGCGTTGATTTTCTAAAATTGTAGGACACGGAGATGACAATGCATGGGGAATGAGTCTGCTTGGACAGGCGAGTCTTGTGAAGATGATGTAGTTGACTGGAGCAGATGGAGCTCTTTGGCTGCAGCTTGGGACCTTGATAGATCAGAATGAGCCCGAACACAAGACTAGTGTAATTTATTGGTAATAGATGCAGATCAATTTGCCTACTAACGGGGCCTAAGAGCATCTCCCGTTCCTCGAACTTAGTTCCGTTCAGCATACTGATTTCCTGAGCTAGAACAGTAGGGATATCCAGCATATTGGTTGAAGCATTGTAAATGTCAGGACATAGTAGAATACAGCAAATGATCTGAATAAATACTACGACAAAAATATTGCCTAGACCCATTACACACTGTCTGATCGAAATCTACACCAAAAACTTTAACAATGATACATAAATACCGCAACGAGGTTTGGAATGGATACAAAACCGTGCAACAAATTTCCCTGCTTCCTACAGAGCAACAGACAAAAACTGACCTCTCGTGTGTCACACACTACTGCTAGTCGACACATGCACGCGCTCCTGGAAAGCAATTGAGGTCATAGCAGACGCTGCGTCGGAGTTGGCCACGAGCTTAGCGTGGTATTCGCGAACGCCAAGGATCAGGCGTGGTCCCAGCACATACGCCTGCATGACTGTCAAAATCTGAAGCAAGCCATAACGAGTCTGAGCTTCGAGGGAATATTGGTCCTATAGAAATGATGGATCATGGTCGCATGCTGAGCTAAGGGAAAAAACATATCGCTAAGACTGTTGGAGATAATTGAACGACGAGGCTGAAGCAAGAAACAACAAAAAAGCTACCACGTTCGATCCTTCAGCAAACAAAGGAACCATGATCACAATACGAGCATACCTCGCAAAGTATGCCATGTGAGTTTTGATCAACACCGAGAAACAGTCCCCGATAATCCCTCCTGCCGAATGACGTCGCAGCTCACGGATGTGTTTTACAGCAATCCAAACTGCGAGACATAGTGCGAGGACCTCCCACACAGTTCCGAGTATCCAAGTAATGGGATTCATAAGTAAGACATCCGAGTCTTCCGGATAGTTAACCTGGCACTGATAAGTGCCGGAGAGAACATATTCCTCTGGTATTCATCAATGAGCCTCATGCACGTTTGTTTTCATCCACGATCAAGCGTACCCCCTGACATATGCATCGTTGTCATTATGAGGACCACTACGTTGAAAGTATTGTCAGCCAGGAATGTGGCAACGAGAAATATCAGGATCTTTCTGGATCCTTGATACATGGCATGCAACCGAGTTATGATGATGACTTATAGCATGTCTCAGTCAAGTCAGTATCAATGAGGTCTCGCAAATACCGAGCTCACCCCACAGCATCGCGAATACCGAAACATCTGTCCAATCCTGTACGAGGTAGATAATCCGGCCTGATGAAAGCAGTCAGTGACCAGTCTAGGGTAGCACACACCACAAACAAACTCACATCTATGGCAGTATGGTGCGTGGCGGTCATTAGTGAACCAGCAAGTTAGTAAACAAATACACCCACTGCTACAGGGCACCACAGTTAATCGGAGGAAAATGGTAGCATCTGTACAGAAGACTCACTGTATCTGTCAGCGAGATGATCGGAAGAGCCTCTGCATGCTGTTGGTCAGAAGAAGCAAAGACAATGAATAATGAGAAGACATACCAAGGATGTTCAGGCTGAATATGAGAGATAGACGATCAGCATGACATCGACTGTTTAGCCTTCCGAACATACGCAGCATAGAAGATTCCTAGGTAGCGCACCTAGGATACTTTCAAGTCAGTACAGCATGACAATTACGACGGAACAAGATACATACAGCGAGATATAGAAATTGTCATCAGAGACCAACGTTGCCTCTGTAATTGAGTGTATTTTCATGTGTGTTCCCTTGACATGAGACTCTACTCACCCAGACCAATTCAACCTATGAGACCATTATTAGCGAGATGGCTGCTTCTGTCATAGCATCGACATACCTCTTGTCCAAAAGTAAGGGCTGAAAATAGTACTTGTAAGATATCAGCACTTCCTTGATATTATCACACTCACCCCAGCCATACACCACTGCAACACAGGCGGCAACTGTGAAAACGTAGCCAAGGTTAGATTGTGGCAGGTTTGATATTTGGCTGCTCTCCACGAACCTATAAAATAGCTAGAAAAACGGTATGCATCAATGAACGGCCACCAAGAGGGATCATTTGAGACCATAGTCATATTGGGAGAGAATGTGTGTGAGTGAGAGGCAAATTTAGTTGAGATATGACAATGGCGTTCGTGCTAGTTATACCACCACCCAGTGCTTAGATCACCAACACAATACCGAGGGATGATGACCGTTCTTGTTTTAATCGACCAAAGTAGATATTTTTGCATGAAAATAAGGTTGGGGCTCAATATAGCAGATGTTGGTCGTGAAACATTTGGAAGAGAGAAATACTTGAACACCGCAAAAGATTGACCAACATTTGCATGAGTTGGGACTTGAGCTATCGTATCATTAGGATGCCGCAAATGGTGAGCGCATGGTAGTTGATTTGCATCGTGGAGTTTGTGCGGCAGTGATGCACCGGGTTTCATCGTGAGGGTAGCCTATGTAGTACATAGGAATGCTGTCTATATTTAGTGTAAACCAGCTACTACAACGACGCCACAGAACTCCTACCGGTAATCAACACATAATGCACCACGAGTGAATCTCAGAATGCACAGCTTATGTTTGGTGATTGTACATGGTGAACATCCCTTTTCGGTAGGCACACCAGGATAAGAAATTAACGAAAATAGAGCACTGAGAGAAAACAAAGTCAGACACACCACTGCAGGAAGCCCGATGATCATTTGGTAGTTGATGGCATACTGATGCTCGCATTGTTCCAAAATGAGCATCAGCAGCGTCTCTGCCTTGCTTCCTTCCACTGGGGACTTGAGTCTAGGAGCGCAGTAGAGGCGTAGTGTTGACCTATGTTGGGCGACTGATGAAAATTGACGCACCACGCTAAGTATATTCAACAACGCATCCCGCAGATACTTTGAATGGGTAGAGTGAGCATTGTAGCCTCTTGTCCGCAATATAATCTCATGACCGAATGTCTTGAGAGTACGCGAGAACAGTGGAAAAGGTTGGTGCGATCCAAGAATGTCATCGCTAGTCGCTGTGAGAAACAATGGTATATTAGCGAATAATTAACTGTAAATTGCAATGTTTGGACTCATCGGAAGTCCTGTTACAATAGCACAACATCGACTGTTCAAACATAGACCTGAAGATTACAATAGCATACTTTGCAGTGCGAACTTCTGGTGGCCTATGGCAAGAGACAAGTTGGCAGAGACTAGGTCTGGACTCTGCGCTATTGAACTGTTTCCCGTTCAGTCAACACATAAGGAATTATTGTTTCAAAATATTACGGTAATCACTAGGACTTCTTGCAAATCGTGTTTTCAAAGACTCAAACAATGCTCATCACCCATGAGTGAGAGCGACTTTTCCCCTCACACTATCTCCATATTGGAAGAATACTACGAGTCCTGGACGTCCCTCACTGAGCAGTCGCCGAGGTCAGTCAGTAATCAGTATCATCTCCTACCCAGGTCGTAGGGAGGGTTCAGCTCCAGTTTTCTCCCAACTTTCACTTGGCCTTGCCCTTTTCAACCCTGGCATAGTGGCATCTACTAGCGACGCGACTTCGGCCACACTCGATTCGTGACCCCGACCCCCGCTGAACGCACATCACCAGCCTCGATATCTCATCTCACGCACTTGCATCTGCGATCAAATACAACTTCCCCGCTGCAAACGCATCATACGCACGATGGGAACCGCTCGAAGTAAACGGCGGGCTCGAGATCTTCAACCCAGCTTTTGTCAATGCAGAATATATCGTCGCAACAAAGGTGCATATCTATTCTATTCTGTGCTATCATCGTTTTTTCTTCTAAGACCTTCATCTCAAGCGTTGAACACCTCCCAGAAGCAATTCTCACTCACTTCGCCCCCACGATCTTGGACGTTTACCACCCTCGCTCGCTCCTCGTGACGACCCCTTCGTACGGCTTCAACGCGCATTTTAACCCTCCTGGCTTGACAAACACCGCCACTGGCTTCCCCGATAAACACACAGACATGGCGTTTAGGCGCCTCGACCACATATTCGAATGGACAGTCGAGGAGTTCCAGGAGTGGTGCAGGCATCGCGCAGGAATGAGGATACGACGTGTATACGACGACTACTGTCCGTGCACAGGAGAAAGATAAGTGGGGGCGGGATGAAGAGCTAGGAGGTGCGAGCCAGGTTGCTGTGTTTAAGCATCTTGAAGGCGAAGCTTGGGCTACGAGGCACGAAGAGAAGAGCACCCAGATCGAAGAAAGGTCAAAATGCCAAAAGGAGCATCGTCTATTGAATACACACCACTACCACGCCCATGTTCACGCAAGAAAACGAGGGTCAGTCGAGGAGATCGCCAAGGACTTATCGAACAAGTTTGAAGAATGGGACGAGGCTGAGCTGCGATTAGAGGAAATTTGGTTATAGAGGAGATCGGAGCGATGTGTGGCGGGTGGTTCGAAGGTCTCATCGAGGCTATCGAGGCAAGTACGAAGTTTGATCTTCAAAGAAGCAAGGGCTAGAGAAGGGGAGATTGTCAGGTGCTGCTAGTTAGAGGCGGGCTTGCAAGGAAGAAGAGGATATTTGAATGGGCTCAAGAAGAACCAGCGGATGATTTGTTTGAGGAGGTCCTGCAATCGGAAGGATATCGTTCTGATGATGACCCGGGATTCGACTTGGGAAGTGGTCTGTATTCTTCAGACTCTGGCGTTGATCTTTTATGGGACATGAGCAAAGACGGGAATGCACAGGGGAAGGAGTCTGTTTGGACGGGCGAGTCTTGTGAAGACGACGTAGTTGACTGGAGCAGGTGGAGCTCTTTGGCTGCAGCTTGGGACCTTGATAGATCAGAATGAGCCCGAAACATATGACTAGTGTGATTCATTAGCAATAGATGCAGATCGGTTTGCCTACTAACGGGGCCTAAGAGCATCTCCTTTCCATTCAGCACACTGCTTTCCAGCGCTAGAACAGTAGGGATATCCAGGATATTGGTTGAAGCGCCATTGTAAATGCCAGGACATAGTATACAGCAAATGATTCGAATAAATACTACGACGAAAATATTGCTTAGACCCACTACAGATGTCTCATGGAAATCTACACCAAATACTTTAACCATGATACATAAATACAGCAACGACTCGGAGGCTTGGTATGGAGACAAAACCGTGACGCAACTTTTCCTGCTTCCTACAGAGCACCAGAGAACTATTGACCTCTCGTGTGTCACACGCTACTGCCAGTCGATACGTGCACGCGCTCCTGGAAAGCGATTGAGGTCATAGCAGATGCTGCGTCGGAGTTGGCCACGAGCTTAGCGTGGTATTCTCGAATGCCAAGAATCAGGCGTGGTCCCAGCACATACGCCTGCACGACTGTGAAAATCTGAAGCAAGCCATTAAGAGTCTGAGCTCCTAAGGAATTTTGGTCCTATAGAAATGATGGGTCATGGTCACATGTTGAGGTAAGGGAAGGATTGACATACCGTTGAGATTGTTGGAGATAATTCAAAAACGAGGGTGAAACAAGAAACAGCAACAAAGCTACCACGTCCAATCCTTCAGCGAAAAGGGAGCCATGATCACAATAAGACCATACCTCGCAAAGTATGACATGTGAGTTTTGATCAACACCGAGAAACAGTCTCCGATAATGCCTCCTGCCGAATGACGCCGCAGCTCACGGAAGTGTTTTACAACAATCCAAACTGCGAGACATAGTGCGAGGACCTCCAACACACTCCCGAGTATCCAAGTAATGGAATCCAGAAGTAAGACATCTTCCTGATAGTTGATCTGGCACATATAAGTGCCGGAGAGAATATATTCCTCTGGTATTCATCAATGAGCCCCATGCACGTTTGTATTCATCCACAATCAAGCGTACCCCCTGAAACATGCATCGTTGTCAGCCAGGAAGGTGACAATAAGAAATATCAGGATCTTTCTAGATCCTCGATACATGGCATGCAACCGAGTGATGATGACTTGCAGCATGTTTCAGTCAAGTCAGTATCAATGGGGTATCGCAAATGCCGAGCTCACCCCACAGAATCGCGAATACCAAAACACCTGTCGAATTCCATACGGTGTACACAACCCAGCCTGATGAAAGAAGTCAGTAACCAACCTCGAGTAGCACACACTCGAAACAGACTCACATCTGTGGCAGTATAGCGTGGCGGTCATTAGTGAACCAGAAATTTAGTAAACCAATACACCCACTGCTACAGGGCACCGCGGTTAATCGGAGGAAAATAGTAGCATCTGTACAGAAGACTCACTGTATCTGTCAGCGAGATGGTCGGAAGACTGGCTGTATGCTGTTTGTCAGCAGAAGAAAGGACAGTGAATAATGAGAAGACATACTAAGCATGGCCATCACCAAAAGTCCAAAAACCTGATGCCACCTGACTAGGATTCCGATCCCACGGTTGTCCAGCTCACATGTGGCAAGCACAGATCACCGTTCATATGTATGATCAGGCTGAATCATGCAATAGACGGAGAATGTTCAGGTTGACAAGTACATGTTAAGTCAGTCACAATACTAAACTTCAAATGATGCGCTATGATATACTGCGCGCAGTTGTTGGATTTAGATTATTTAGATTTCCTTATCGAGTTTCGACTCGGAACGAGCCGATTGTGGCTTAAACTTTATTTCGCCGTGATTACATACAGTAGCGATATTTTTGTATACCTTACGCGTTTGCAACAAATTCACCGTGCTACCTGCTGCCGAAAATTCTATAGCAGTCTGACTAGAGCCTGATATATACCTAGAGCTAGCTCACTAGTCTACAAGGCACCATATCCCTCACGTGCAAGAAACTCGTCATCTACTAGCTCTTCCTTGTCAACTCCAATTTCATTCTCCTCGTCATCACCCAAGTCTTCATATGTGCCTCCCTCACTATCATCATCGTCCACGGCTTCGTCCTCAAAGTTAGCCATTTGCAATGCTTCAGGCTGAATGTCTTCTTCCTCATGTGATGGTACAGCACCATCATTACGCAAAAACTCGTCCCACTCTCGCGTTAATTTGTGGCCAACACCACCTCCTCGGAAGCGCATGAACATGTCACGGTCGATGAAACTGGGTAGACAGATAAATGGAGTAATGTCAATATATAGAGAATGCTCACTGATTCACATAGAAATACTTGAAATCCGTGTCCGTGTCACCCTCTTCCACAGGACGTCCAAATGAAGGCTCGAGTTGAGTGTTAGTGCGACCATGTTCAAATACAGGAATTAGATGTACACCCCGAATCACTTGGTCAGGGTCTACGAAACCAAAACCTTCGGGATCATTGCGCTTGAAGTAGCCAACATGGTGGAGTTGTTTGGCTGACCACCCAGCTTTGAACTCAACATCACGCCCAAACCAACGAACAAAGAGCACGTTCATGCGAGTGGGCACCCGTGCAGTGGTACCTTGGCCACGATGCCAGATATCAAGGTTGAAAATATTGATGATGCAGGCATACCAGTAAGGGTGTCGGTCATGGTCATCCTCATGTGAGAGCATCATAATGTCGGCGTGTGTTCGAGGATTCATCGAGTCCTGCTCTCTTCGCAAATCATAGGTGGTGTAGTTGACTTGTAGTACGCTGTGCTCACGGAGTCGGTCATTAACAATGATCACCTGATTCCTGTCCTCATCAGAGAAATTGTGTTCATCACCAGAGTAATCCATGCCATGGAGTCGTGCCAGCAAGTGATCCTTCAGACGTGGAATGAAGTCCTACAAGGTCATGAAGTTAAGTGTGAAAATACTTCGGGAAATTATACTTGCCTTGACTGCCGCTGGGTCATCATGATCACCAAGCCATGTGAACACGTCATGCGAGCATTTGGGATACTTTGATATGTGATAGTGTGCTGAGGGTGAATTCTGGTGTGCTTCTTGCTGTGTTAAGGACACCAGGTTCTTTTGACGTCGTTCGAGCACTTTTGCAAGGAGTCGTTCACGGGCTTCCAGGTGTGTCATTGTTGCAACCATAGTCTTCTTATTCTTTGATGTCCTTGGATACCATCGCTTGACATGTCGATGTTCAAGTTCGCCCTAATATAGATAGTATAAGAGTAATGCTAGTATGATAATCAATATGAAACATACCGGCTGTGTAGTATAGTTATCTGTTGTGCCCCTTTGCCTAATTGTGTTAGCATAATCACCCAGCGCATGAAATTTATACGTCGAAAGATTGAGGGACTTGTACTTTGGTCCAGCGTTTTTCTTCCCTGGAGTGGTAGACACTAGTTTTTGTTTTGCAGCTAATGCGGCCTCTCGATGTCCCCATGCTGCATGCTCGTCAGGGAGTTCAGTCGTGTAGTAGTAACTGCATGTCATCTTGTAGAACTTGCGAACCGATTGACCGAGTATGACAGTGGCAGTATCGAAAAAATCCAGCGTGTCAGTGGTGTGCAACCGAAGCTTGGCATATGCGTGCCAAGATGTTAAGTCGAAGAGAAGGTCAAGAATTATGGTATTATGAGGCTCCGGCAATAGATTCTCGAATACAGCCATAGCGCACTGACAGATAAGTCAGATAATACACAATATCAACGATACGGCTACTGACCTGCAGAAGATCCTCAAAGTCTCGGGCAGCCAATTTTTTCATAGCTGAAGTGTTATGGTGGAAGCGGCAAATTGTCCCTCTACCAAATGTAGGGACTTCTCTGTATCTGAAAAGGACATTAGCATATGAACCCGGCCATCAAGCACAAATGTGCGCATGAAAAAATTAGAAGAATTACCGTTCATTTAGCTTCTGCACTCCAGTTCCTCCAGCTGCGTGCAAGATTCACATCAGGTGTGTGAAGATTGCTTTCCAAGCACCAATCTCGAACTCATGCAGTTGATCGACCACAAACAACGAAAACATGTCAACACCATGGTCTGCTAATCGTCCAGAAAATGTGTTCTAATGACAAATGTCAGTCATAGTGTAAAATTTGATAGGCGTGTAGCAGCACTTACACGAATTGGCACATATGATTCTTCATTAAGAATCGCCTTAACGCGACTGCCATCTACTGGAGCTCCAAGTTCGAAAATCAATTTCCGAGCTTCTTCCACTCGCTGTCGTCGTCGCAGGCCATCAGTGCGCTCCCGTGTGACCCGACACCTCATGTCTAGCACCATTCCCATCATATGAACATCTGCCTTCTTGACAAGACAGCGAGGGCATGGACGTTGTTCTAAGAATTTGATGCTAGTGAGCAGTATCCTCGAGTAACATGTCAGTCTCAAATGATTTGTCGAGGTAAGACTTACTTTTCAGGATAATCCGCAGAGTAAGAGAAGAACTGAGGATATACCCTTCGTGTAATCCCATCGCTATAGTGAATGATGATACCATGCTTATACGTGTTATGACTTGGATGGTATCTGTTGGCGACGCTCAAACAGAGCGCGTGTCGTCAACGGTCGAGGACGTCCTTGGGCTAGCCCAAGGTTAGGGGTCTTACTTGGCGAGGCTTCGGCAAGTAAGATTTAACGCCTATGTCCAAATCAGGTAGCTTATGTCAAGCGGGTGCTTGACGATAAGCTAAATCGGCCTAGGCTTACGACACCCGAAGGTTAATCGTAAGGATCGTTGTTAATTAGAAGGACGGAAGTCCGACTAGTTAACAGGGGCTTTGCTCGTCGACAAAGTCGATGAGTAAAGGTCGAGACTATAGGCTTATCTGCGAAGAGCAGATAAGAAGATAGAATATAGACTGCTGGCGAAGCAGAAGAATCACTCTGGTGAGAGTAGGAGGTCAAGAACCAAGTAGATTCAAGTTAGGGAATATGGTATATGGTAGCAAGTTTATATAGAGGACAGGAGACGTATTAGTGGGTGATAACTCATACTACCGGGAGAGGCAATCGGTAAAGGGTATAACCATAACAGGAAGGCACGTTCAGTCGAGGTAGAACGTGCTAGATAAGGAAGTGAGTCAAAGATCGAAATAAGGAGTAAAATGCGCAGGGGCACGATCGTGCAGCTGCGGATCTAAGTATAAGTTGCATGTGCGACTGCGCACCGAGTCAGAGATCAAGAAAGGGAATGGGGCAAGGGGGATGCGTCGTGCATCATATCATAGGCTACCGTCCAGACGGTAAAGGCAAGGGGACTGTCCACAGGATCAGTCAGGTGGTGGAACGGAGCATGGGTATGCTTTGTCAGCGAAAGGATCTGGCCAGATGTACTGGCTTTGCTGAAGTGACAGGTAGAGGGCGAAAGGGAATGCGAGAATGACGAGGATAACCAGGGTAAGGTCGGGGTAAGGGTATGACGCGAGGGCTGATACAAGGAGGATTAGGAGAAAAATGGTAGGGGCCCAAGCGTCTAGATGTTCTTGTAACAATACACTTCCATAAACTTTCCATCAAGAATTAACTCCCAAATTGTGTGAACCAACTCGCGTTTGAGGTGTGTGAAGGTGCTACTTGATGCTGGTTCACCAAATATATCAATGTAAACCCCCTGTAAATTATGTGGAAGCTGCGTGTAGGTTTAGTAAATGTCATCACAAAGAAATGCACACATACATTCAGAATATATGCCAAGTGATGACATGCACAAGCTGTAGGCTTTCCTCGTGTATATTTGGACTGATTACCGAAGAAGACATAAAACGGCCAGAGGGATGCATCTCCAAAGCTCGCCAAGTGAGTGGCGTCCGACCAGACCATTAGCAAGGCAACAACGCGCTCGAGGTCATCATTAGGATTTCTGGGAAGAGCGTTCACTTCTTCATAAGCTCTTACCATTTCAGGGGAGGCATAGGATTCGGAGAAAACTTCCAGAGTTCAATTATCCGGTGAATTCCAGTATTGGCAGAATGGAGTCATGTTGAAATTCAGCGACACGTCATCCTCGAATATGTGCGTGATGATATC